TTTGCTCCTTCTTTCCTATCAAACATCTATCGTCCTTATCTCTTCTTCTTTTTTGTGTACGTTACTCTCTTGAACACATCTATTCTCCCGCACTTATATGACCTTATTGTGTTGCAAGTGCCGTAAAACTCTTACAAAAAAATAAAACTCCTCTTTTCCTGTCAAATGTCTGTCGTTCTTTTCTATGTGTGCCTTCTTTTCTTTGTATGTCACTCTTCAGTAACAGTGGGTGGTTGGCGGGTTCTCTGGTTTAGTTTGCTTCTTCTTTCCTACATCTATCGTCCTTATCTCTATTCCCTTTTTGTGTTTGTTACTCTCTTGTGACACCTCCAATCTTCGGTACTTATATGACCTCACTGTGTTGCGAGTGACGTAAAACTCGTACTAAAACTAAAAAAACCCATACCATTTCACCATTTTTACCAAAAGCTGTAACTCATAATAGTGTTGATAGGGGTGTTAAACTCATATCATTTCACCATTTTCACTATGACAAGCCCAAAAGTTGTTTTTATGGGTGTTTTACAGCGCTCGCAACTTCATATGGTCATATATAGCGCGCTGGACACATTAAACAGTTTCAGTTCCAAAAGCTTTGACACCTAGATCTAATAGTGTTGATAGGGACGTTAAACCCATATCACTTCACCATGTTCACCAGAAAGCTTTGACACGTGTGTCCTGTTTTGTTTCGTGTGCAGGGGCAAGTTCGCCGTGGTCCGGAAATGCGTGAACAAGGAGAGCGGCGAGGTGGTGGCGGCCAAGGTGATCCGCAAGCGTCGCAAGGGCAAGAGCTGCCGGGAGGAGATCCTGCGGGAGGTGGTCATGCTGGAGCTGGCCATGGCGCACCCGAGGCTGGTGTCCCTCAGGGAGGTGTTTGAGACGCAGTCAGAGCTCATCCTAGTCACTGAGTAGTGAGTATACCTGGTGGACAGCCTCTCATTTTGTCTGTTTGTTCATATCTGCTTGTCCCTCACTGTCCCTCTATCTCTCACACCCTTTCTCTTTCTCTCTCTCTTTCTCTCTCTCTCTTTCTCTTTCTCTCTTTCTCTTTCTCTCTCTCTTTCTCTCTCTCTTTCTCTTTCTCTCTCTCTTTCTCTCTCTCTCTCCCTCTCTTTCTCTCCTCTCTCTCTCCTCTCTCTCTCCTCTCTC